TAATGATATGTAATTAATTTTCTAGAAACTATTATACATAGAATAAGAATATAATACCTTTTAATAATATTTTTTATTATATTAATACAATAGTTGGTTGTCTGCCAATTATTATAAATTCAAGAGGAATTTTCTTGAAATTACCTAAATTATTTAATGTATAATATATAAAATATTTCAGGTAAATACTTTTTCAATCTTTTCTTTAAAGAGTGGCCTCCATACTTATAAATTTTGCAGATACTTTNTAATGATATGTAATTAATTTTCTAGAAACTATTATACATAGAATAAGAATATAATACCTTTTAATAATATTTTTTATTATATTAATACAATAGTTGGTTGTCTGCCAATTATTATAAATTCAAGAGGAATTTTCTTGAAATTACCTAAATTATTTAATGTATAATATATAAAATATTTCAGGTAAATACTTTTTCAATCTTTTCTTTAAAGAGTGGCCTCCATACTTATAAATTTTGCAGATACTTTTACATTAATTATATTCAAATGTATGTATGATTGGTGGCTGTACCATGAAAGTAAAATATATAAACTGATAGGGTTATTTACTATAAATTATGTGCATGTATTGCATTAAATGTATAACAATTTTCTTTAAACACAAACTAGCGTCCAAACGGACTGCAGCCCTTAAAACAGTTTGGAATGTACTAGCAAATCATTTGCTGAAGAGAGGGTTAAAACATGCAAAATTGGAACCAATGGCAATTGTCAGCTGGTGCTGTTGCCACTCCAATGCCACAACCACCAGTTGGTTATGCTGCACCAGGAGCAGATCCCATGGCTATGATGCAAGCATACATGCAGTATTATAGTCAACCAGTAAGTATTACATTAAAATTTTTATTTATAATGTATTTGTAATTTTAAATCTAATACTCTGCCAATTAAGTAAGATCATTCAGTTTTTAATTAATCACATTGTGATAAATTCTGTAATATATAATTTATTAAATTAAAACTATAATTGTGACTACGTTAATTCATCCTTTATTAAATGGTACAACAATAGCATAGTAGATTGTAAATATACTTCATTTTATTATCAGGCACCTAGTGGATATACAGCAGAACAATGGGCAGCAGCTCAACAACAAAATTGGACTCAGTGGCAGCAGTGGCAACAACAGTACCAACAATGGCAAGCTCAGTATGGAGAAAAAGTATGTAAAAGCTTCTTCTATAGTCATATACTATAAGTTGGAGCATACTTGAGTAATTATTTTCTAATTAAAACTGTGATTTGTGTTTGATGAAAAATGAAGGAATAATAACCATTAATATTAAAACTTAAAAATTAATTCTTTTTGTATGTAAAAGACTATGTAATTGTATTAAGTTGATTTGTAGATTTATTCATTCAATTTTGTTTCAGTATCAGGAAACTATGAAGCATATGTCAGCCCAGAATATGGGTTTAACTACACAGGTGACCCAGTTACCAATTGTACAGCCTCCACCGCCTCTTCCAAAAGAAGATACAAAACCACCATTACCCCCAACCACAATGAATACATATCAGTTTACAAGCATGCCTCCACCACATCAAAACAATCTTCCATTATTTCCTGTTAAGCAAAATGCGAACACCACAGTGCAAACTAGTGTACAAAACTGTCCCCAGAATCCCCCCTTGCCCCCTAATCAACCACCATTGCCTCCCGAAAGTAGTAATAGTAGTAAGGAAAGTACATTAACCGGTAAACGCGGTAGTAGTAGCGTTAGTGAATCAAATAGTGCTAAAAAGTTGAAAGTTGAAGACGACGAGTTAACCGAAGCTGAAAAAACGTTCGACGCTCAGTTTAAACAGTGGGAAGAACAATTTAATAAGTGGAAAGAGCAAAATGCAAATCATCCTGACAAGGTAAGTGATATTACGATTATCTATTATTCGCTAGAGCTTGAAGTATTCATTACGAATTCTAAAAGTACCATAGCGCTGGTTCTATTTTTTCCAAAAGAAGTATTATTTTATTGTAGACTCAATACAAACAGTATGAAGCGAAATGGACATCTTGGCGGGAGAAGCTTATTGAACGACGAGAACAGATGCGTAAGAAACGCGAACAGCAAAAGCAAGTTGTTGCGAAGGCAGAAGTAGAGAAGGCTAAAAGCTTACCTGGTGATGATAAAATAATGAACATTCTATCAAGCACAGAAAATCAAGGCTTGATTAACAATTTGTTAGGCATTGGAAAAACCCTTGGTTTAACTACGAAACAAAATGCTAACGTTCCTCCTCCACCACCGCCGCCACCAGCTACAGAGACCGTAACATCCACGGTTCAAACATCTACCATGGCATCCACTCAAGAAACCTCACAGTTGTCGACATCTCAGTTACCAGCTGCCATGAATATAATGTCTTCCAGTGCGATGACTTCGTCGCCTTGGAATTCACAGCAATGGGCACAACAGTATAATGCAGGAATGAACGTATCAGGCATTTCCAATTTCCAATCCATAAGCGGTGTGCCTCCACCACCTTTCGGCGCACCACCCACACAAATGCCTCGTCCGAATTTCACACAGCCACCACCAAATTTTCCCAATGCACCAAATTTCTCTCAGCCGCCGCCTGGGTTTGCTAACGATAGACAGAATTCTAATGTACGTCCACCGGTTCCATCCAACATGCAAGGAAGACCTCCGTCGTATGGTCCAAGTAGTGTGAGTGGTCCTGATGGAAATCATGCTGCCAATGAGCGTCTAACACAAGGTGGTCCTATGAATAATTTCGACTCAATGAATCCAAATAACTTCAACACTAGTGAATCCAATCGGCAAAAGGATGGTATAGCACCAGATCGTTTTGGTTGTGATGGAATTATTGAGCAACAAGGTAATCAATTTCGATCGAACGATGTATATGGTCAACGGAACGAAAATTATAAATTTAACGACGAACGACCGCCTGAAAATGATCAGTTTAGAAGAGAGGATAGAAATTATCAAGAGCATGGAAACAATCAATTCAATCAGCAGAAAATGAATTTCAACAATGATAGATTCACTTCCGCAAGTGATCGTTTTGGACCGGGTAGTAATCGGTTTAATTCAAATGATAGATTCGGGCCTGGAAATGATCGATTCAATTTAGGAAGTGATCGACCTGGACTTGGAAATGATAGATTCGGACCTGGTGATAATAGGTTCGCAAGTGAGCGATTTGGACTATCGACTGAAAGAACTGGGCAAGGAAATGAATCTGTGAACGACCGTTTTGGAGGGAATGATAGATTTGGTGCCAATAATAATGAATCGTTCGGTCCAACAGGAGATAGATTCAGTAGGAACAGTATGGATCGTTTTGATCAAAAAGATATAGGCGATAGACGCGATAGCTTTCCAAATGTTCCTCGTGTTTTCGGTAGGAATAATCAATTTGAACCATCTGATAAATTAGCACCAGAATTAAAAAAACTTATGGAAAAGCGGCGAGCTGCGTTGGATGTATTTAGACCTAGTTATCTTGACTCTGATAAGGGTAGCAACGTTGGTTCATTGAGCGAGAGCTTTAAGAAAATAACTGGGGATTCTCTGTTTCTGAAAAATTCTGGGATTAATAATTTCGGTCCTCGTGGTCCTGGTCCTGGTAATTTTAGAATGCCTATAGACTTCAAACCGCAAGGTCCAAATCCTGATTTTGGTCCACGATGCCCCACAAGTCTTGGTCGTAATAATTCATTTGATTCTAGAGATGGTATACAATTTAGGGGAACTAGTTCGCAGCAAGTACAAGACATAATCATAGAACCAAGATCAGACATAGGAAATCTAGGGACTGACACAAATATAGCTAAAGATAGTAAAGAACTTCTTAGTGGAGAAGATCAATCTTCTCTAGTACATCCCCAACTTAATGAACATAATGTTGATAGTACACGCAAAGATGATCCTGATAATTACTCAATACAAACCGAGATTCCATTATTGGAAAAAGCACCATGGTCTGATAATCAGTTTCCTGAAGGTAATTCACAAAAAGACGCTATTACCGTTATAGATGGTGACAATTCATCTATTAATTATGTTGCTCCAGAACAAAGTACTCAAAAAGTAATACCTGAAATAATAAAATCTAATCAAGATTTATCAAATAATGAAAACGATATCAGGAAAACGGATGTTTTGCCTTTTATGGGAGAAAATGATCCAAAACCAGAAGATTTAAATATGGAACCTCCTCCTGAATTTCCAAATTTGGGACCTGTTACCACAGAGACTATCGAAAATAATGATCCTCTACGGCGAATTAATGAGATGCATGATGAAAAAGAGTCTTCCTCGCAACCATTCTTAAATAATCCAGATTGCCCTGCTCCCAGAGATAATTTTGATCCTACATTTGGTCCGAGAGGAATGCAATTCAGACCAAATACACCTTTTCTTACTCCAAGAGGTCTTGGTGATAACAGATTTCCTATGTTTGAACCTCGAGGTCCAATACCGTTCAATCCTGTTGGTCCAAATTCATTTTCATTGGGGCCTCGCGGTCCCAGTGATGGTCAATTTGGTCCAAGAGGACCTAACAATGGACAATTTGATCCACGGGGTTCCAACGATGGACAGTTCGATCCAAGAGGATCCAATGACTCACAATTCCGTCCTAGAGGACCAAATGATGGTCAGTTTGGTCCAAGAGGGTCTATCGACGGATCCTTTGGACCAAGAGGACCGAATGACGGAATATTTGGTCCAAGAGGGCCGGCTGATGGACACTTTGGCCAAAGAGGTCCTAGTGATGGATCATTTGGACCAAGAGCTCCTATTGATGGATCATTTGGACCAAGAGGTCCCAATAGTGGACAATTCGGACCTAGAGGTTCTAATATTGGACAATTTGGCCCCAGATATGATGGACAATTTGGACAAAGAAGACCTCCTAATGATGGTCAGTTTGGTCTCAGAGGACCAACTGATGGACAATTTGGACCTCAAGGATCTAGTAGACCGTTTGTACCTGGTAGATCGAATGACGTACCTTTTGATAATCGAGGTCCTAATAATATGCAGTTTGCTTCAAGGGGACCGAATGATGGACAGTTTAAATTCTCGAGTCCTAGTGACACACTATTTGGTTCACGTCGCAATGAAGGATCTTATCAACGAAGTCCGAGCGGATCAAAGGGAATGAATGAAGGACAATTTCCAAGTAGATTTAGTGAAAAGTTATGTGACGCTTCTACTGATGGAACTTCAATACCACAGGGTGGAAGTGATGCATACTTTGTCTCACGAGGTCCAACTAGTGGTCCAAATGATTTATTCACAACTCGAGAGAGACAGTTTGATGTTAGAGGTCTTAACAATATGGGTCCCAAAAATAGAGAAAATTCAGAAAGCATTTCTGATATTCGTGGCAGTGGCGGAGTTTTTGAGTGTAAGGATCAAATTCAAATGGATCAAAGTATGCAACAGGGAAAGTTTGATGCTAATAGTGTCCAAGGTTCAGGATGGAAGCAATCATATACTAAAGGTAATTTAGGTGATATTGACCAAAGATCTGTGCAAGAATTTGGCTACAATGAAAAACCAATTCAAAGTGAATCATTTAATCAAAGTTTAATAAATAATATAGAAAGAAGATCTCCTTTGGATGCAGCCAAACTCAATATATCAGACATGAGAACAGACAAAACAATGAGTGAATTGACAATTGGAGAATCGTCAGGATCTGAGTACTCGAAATTTAACAGCTCTAACATGTATGCGAAACGATCAATGGATAATCGCCAGTCTCATGTTAGATGTACACCTGTTAAAGAGTTTTGCATAGAAAAGCAATTTAATTATAATCACGGTGGAACTGCTGCTGATAAGAAATTCGTTGATCATGTACCTGCTAAAGTAATTGACTATGCTCATACTTCTCGGTCATCAATCCAAGATCACTTAACTCCTGTACAATGCTTCGATTATGGACATGGTAACTTAAAGCCACTGATACCAGAAGGCGAGGTACATCCAACGAAAGATTTTAGGAACTGGGAAGAAAGTGAACAAAACTTAAAAGAATATACAGAGAAAATAAGAAGATATGAACATTATTCAGGAAAACCAGATAATAGGAGAACGGGTGACTATGGTCACAGAAGGAATAGTGAAGACTATATAGATGATAAAAAACTGGAAAGAGATTACAGAGAGAAAGAAAATTATAAAGCAAAAGAAGACAGGATATTTGACCATTTATCCAACAAAGATCAGGATAGTCGTTATAATAAAAAAGCTAATAAAGGTAATGTGTAGTCTCAACATTTTCTAACTTGAATATTACGTTATTTTCGTAGTAGAGTTTATTATAAATAAAAATTGCCCAAATTTAATGAGAATTGTGAGATCAGAAATATCTACATTTATGTTAACTTTCTTTTTTCTGAAATATAGAAAGAACACGGGAAAGAAATGAGCAAACTCAAAAGGAAACAAACAAAGAAAATAAAGATGAAGACAGGTACAGTACCAACGAATAAGTATATCTTTTGTGCATATTCATATATGTGTAAATATAAGATATTATGTGAATATATGAATTATATTCGTTTGAAAAAGTATACAACTTTCTTTAGATCGAAAGGAAATATAAACTGGCAGGAGAACACAAACAAGAACATCGTTGAGACAAAGCCACCAGACACCAGGTATGTGACACCAATTATTAAACTCCGCCTTAACGGTTTTGGTCCTTTCGAAACATTGTAAAATAAATGCTTTTATGACTTTTGTGTTCTTACACGGACTCGAGTTATAACATTGGTATCCATTTACAAATTATTTAAGACAAACGTTGCATTTTGCATAAAGTATGAAGACTTGTTTATGCAAATTTTGCTTTGTCTTCAGACTGTTAAAATACATAAGCACTGTGTTTGTGTCTACAGCGTCAGTGTTGACACACAATAAAGAATTTTGAAAACCACTGGTTTTCATTATATATTCAATCTACATGTCTATGTGTATGGTTATATAATTAATGATACTAGTTAAAGTACTCGAAGGGCTTGTTTCCATATGTGTGCAAGTTTATTTTTTTAACAAATCGATGATATTTTTGTCATCATTGAACAATTCGGAATTTCAAAGTTAAACACATGAAACATGCAGTAATAAATATAATACAAACATGTTTTATTTTTATATATTTGTATTATGTGTGAATGTGTTTCTTGTAGTTTAAGCTTTCTCTATCTAATTATGGGTACCCTGAAAAAATATACACCATTTTCAGGAGTTTCATATTATTACATATTTCATATATCATCAACAATTGCTTCAAATGCATTTACCTTTTCTCTACTATGGTTTAAATACGTTCAACGTCTTAATACCTTGTGCAAAGTATTCATTTATGACTGAACTAGAAGGTATACTTCAAATATCAAAAGTACATTTAATGTATAAATTATTATATACCCGCAATCATTTACATTTTATTACCGATTTTGTTTTTTTATGTTATATAAGAGATTTACTATATTTTGTTGAATAATACATTTGCAATTACAGACTAGTTTGTTGAGAACTTACGATAAATTAAAGTTATGTGTTACAGTGTTACAGATGTTCAACACAATGTGGTGGAACCTGCACCAAAGACTTTGGAGTTGGCGAAAACACCGAACTGCACAATGGTGGATGACTTACTGTGTGCTCCTGGTCGCCAGAACAGACCACCAAAAATAGCTATTATCTTAAGGGGTCCTCCAGGCAGTGGAAAATCATTTGTTGCAAAACTTATCAAGGTGAATTCATATTATAGTTTTCTGAATAAAATTTATTTTAATATCCATTGTACTTATTCAAGTGTACATTCTTTTTTATTTTTACAGGACAAGGAAGTAGAGCAAGGAGGCTCTGCACCAAGGATCTTGAGTCTTGATGACTACTTTTTAGTGGAAAAAGAAATAGAATCTACTGACGATAATGGCAAGAAAGTGACTGTCAAGGTATAGTTTCTTATTATACAACTATTGAATGCCAATTGTTGTGACTAATGTAACCAACGAAATAATGTTTTAGGAAATGGTCTATGAATACGAAGAAGCAATGGAGCAAAGTTATGTGGCATCATTAGTAAAGGCGTTTAAGAAAAATATCACCGATGGTTTCTTCAATTTTATAATATTAGACTGCATTAACGAAAAGATCTCCGACTATGAAGAAATGTGGAGCTTTGCTAAAACCAAAGGTTTTAAAGTAAGTTTTATTGGTGGAACTGGCGGTTCTATTGTGGTGGAAGTGGTTTGTTTTGTAATGCTGTACGTTTGTAAATACTTTTTTTCTAGGTATATGTATGTGAAATGGAAATGGATTTACAAATCTGTTTGAAAAGAAACATTCACAATCGCACAGAAGACGAAATAAATAGGATTATAGACTATTTTGAGCCAACGCCGAGTTATCATCAAAAACTGGATGTTAATTCAATGTTGCAAGAACAGGCAATTGAAGAAGTAAGTTTCATAAGTAGGTTTACTAATGAATTATATAGAGAAATCGTATTTTATATTTACATCTTATAGGTTCACATGGAAGATAGTGAAGATACACAAGAGAAAGTATCTCAACAAAATGAAGATAGTCAAGATAGTCAAGAGGATATTCAGGATAGTGTGGTAAGTTTTCGTTTATATTAAACAAATATAACAAAAAGATATAATGAATATAATTAGAATTATAACTTTAAGGGAGTAAGTAAATGGGAACGCATGGAAGCTGAAGATAAGTTAGGTAAGCTTAAATAAATGTATTGTATAATATGGAAGAAAAGAAAATACTTCATTCTATATTAATATATTACATAGACCGTTTGGATGGTCTTGCAAAAAAGAAAAATGAGGGAAAAGTTCAAACAATGAAAGATTTCCTTCAAGTTCCTGATTATTATAACATGGAGGACACTTCTGGCAAAAAACGCGTAAGTAGATCAAATTTTTAATAATAATATGGTGTGACAAACCCAATATTATATAAATTCTAGGTAAGGTGGGCAGATTTAGAAGAACGAAAGGAGCAAGAAAAAATGCGTGCTGTGGGATTCGTGGTTGGTCACACCAATTGGGATCGAATGATGGATCCAACAAAAGGAGGGAGCGCTTTAACACGCACAAAGTATATATGATTTAATTTTACTTCTAGGATATTTAGAAAAAATTAGAAGTGAAATTAACATTATTTACTAGTAAGTTCTAGTCTAAAAATTTATATGATCACTTAAACAAAAATTTAGATATTTATAAAAATAACAATCTTTTTGTATTTTTACAAATTAAGGAAGAATGAATGACTTTTAACATTGTGAAGTGTAATTTTATAATTGTATAAAAAATGAACGTTACATATTTGTATTTGAAAAGCTGAATTTGTTGATATCTGTAAAAAAACAATTTTGTTGATATCAATAAGAAAAGAGTTCTCATATTATTGTTCATAATACGAAAGGACTGTTTTCTCATAATTAGTATAAAAGACTGCAATTTACTGTTACAGTTTTACAGTATCTGCTACGAATCTACAGGATGTACCAAAATTATCATATTTCCGGGAAATGGGGGTTTCCTGAGGCCATTTGAAGTAACTTTTTCCCTAGCGAAAATGCAATCCGCAACTTTGTTTATGAAATATTAACGAAAAACAGTGATCAATGTGAGACGAGCTCAGCAGCTGCGAGGTGGTCGAACGAGCGAGCAGCACCGGCTCCGACCGCGGAGAGCGATGGCTTTGGGTCGTGTTCGAACTTTTCGAATATTTTTTATCACGTGACAGTGATATTTAAAAAAAAATACACTGTTCACCCTTATTTTAGAATTTCTGAAGAATATTTACTAATTTTTCGGAGTCAAAATAGTAAGTAGTTTAACTGTGACAGTCGTTTTAGTTATTAATTGAGCAGTTTACAGTGAAGATTAACAATAAGAAATCTCGTCAAACTTACGCAAAAAATATCTTTATTTCAATAATTCCGTATCCAAATAGAATTCAACGAACGATTCGTAAAGGTAATTTAATAGCAAATCGCGTTACAGAATATGAAAGATATGTTTGTTTAAGAATTGTGAAGAATATCGTTAGTAGTAAACTCACCCATTTAGTTAAGGATGCATTTCTTCAGCTGATCCCAGTTCGATGGCCATACCGAGAATGGAATACGGTCGGAGGGACCTTAAGTATGGAGTTCTTTTTCACAACACTGTCGTCAAACACTGACCACTTAATGAATCCTCAGCAGTCGGAAAAGGTGTGCACATGACCTTTGGATGATTTTGTTGATTTCTGCATTAACTCTCGTCGTTTACATATGCGGAAATTCCTCCCGCATCCTTTACATTGTTTCATTCACGTTCCTATTCACAATGTGGAAGTTGCGGGAGGAATTTCCGAATATGTAAACGGCGAGAGTTAATGCAGAAATCAACGAAAGGAATCCAAAGGTCATCTGCACATCTTTCCTGACTACCGAGGATTTATTAAGTAGCCAGAGTTTGGTGATAGTTACGTGAAAGTGAACTCGGTGAATTCCTTCGAGCAAAATGAATCAACGAGAGGAATCCGACGGACCTTTCGTTATAGTCGAGGATTCATTAAGTGGTCAGTGTTTGGCGACAGTGTTGTGAAAATGAGAACTCCGTGTTTTCCATACCGTCCCTACCCGAGGTACCTCCGACCGTATCCCTTCCTCAGAATGCCCATCGAACTGGGATCAACTGAAGAAATGCATCCTCAACTAAATGGGTGAGAGAGTTGAGTACTAATGATATTCTTCACAATTCTTGAACAAACATATCTTTCATGTTCTGTAACGCGATTTATTATTAAATTAGCTTTACGAATCATTCGTTGAATTCTATTTGAATGCGGAATTATTGAAACAAAGATATTTTTTTCGTAAGATTAACGAGATTTTTTTTGTTAATCTTCACTGTAAACTGCTCAATTAATAACTAAAACGGTTGTCACGGTTAAACTACGTACTATTTTGACTCCGAAAAATTAGTAATTATTCTTCAGACATTCTAAAATAAGGGTGAAACGCGTTTTTTTTTATATCATTGTCAAGTAGTAAAAAAAATTCGAAAACTTAGAACAAGACCCGAAGCCATCGCTTCCCGCAGTCGGAGCCGGTGTTGTTCGCTTGTTCGACCACTTTACAGCTGATCACAGTTTTTCGTTAATATTTCTTAAACAAAATCGTGGATTGCATTTTCACTAGTGAAAAAGTTACTTCAAATGGTCTCAGGAAACCCCCATTTCCCGGACATACGATAATTTTGAAACTATTAATTTTTCTACTGTAAAATGTAACGACATATGCATTGTGTATCCTTCTTAGATGGATATAGTGCAAAAATGTTACATTTCTTTTATTTTAATTATAGGAATATTTTGATAATCTAAGACTGCAAACTACAGTATAAGTGTGAATGACCAAAACAATGTTAATGTTATTTTAAAATTTACTGTAAATGTATATTTTGATAGACACTTGTAAAATACGCTTTTTGTATAAAAATTTTTTATGCTAATTTCTTATATTCCTCCTCATTTAACTGTTACTATAATTTTTATTTGCTTTAAATATAATTAGCTTTGTAAAACATTAGTATCGCTTTTAAATTTTTTAAATGCAACGTTTTCTATATTTTCATAGAAAGTTGGAAATAAGGCATTTTGATGACTTACGTAATTATTATATATTGCAGGTTTTTCTCGCTATCATAACGATAGTTCCCCTTTTCATTCTACTGACTTCAGTAATACAAAGACACAAGAAAACAAGATGTCTACACTTTCAAGTCTTCTGAATGCCGATGTACTATTTAATAGAGTCAACATTAAGTAATTTCAATTCACTTAAAACACGCTGTAATTATTGTATATACTATTACTTCTATTGAAACTGTTTTCGTTATACATTTTTATACCTATTTCCTGCATTCTGTATAAAGT